TATGAATTGTAATCTAATAGCAGATCCTTCAGTTGAATGTTTAACCACAGTCATAGGCTGTAAACAAGAGACTGACAAAACAGTTTATGAAAATGGATTTAAATAGTCTACTTTTATGATGATTGCACCCTGATTGAGGTAGGTAAATCACTCTTCAGTTTTTATGGTATAGATCAAGATATGAAAAGTAATAAAGGATAGTGGATTATTATTTTTGACTTGGAATTTAGTTTTGAACACTATTAAAATGTGTAAACCAAATAGGTCCCCTTATTTCAATTTATTCCTTTTAACTACAATGTTTTTATTAGATTCCCACCAGTGGAGTATACAGGGAGTATACCCCCTCCTCCCCCCCCCCCCCCCAAATCATTTTTATATCAGGGATGTGTTGTTTATTGAGACCAATTCTCCAAACCAACGATACTTGGACATTGGTAAATTATCGGTGTTGAGAATCGGTTGTCAAAAGTAGATTTCGATACCGATACCAAATACTTTTGCGACAATCGTAAAATTACTGCGCGCAAGATTACGATGTTGTCTGCACTGCCGCAGGAGATGATCAGAATACTGCCGCGAGCGAGGAAGACTATGATGATGTTTCCGTTCCGGGGGGGATATTATTTTGCCATTACCGTGGAAGACAATGACAATGTCTTCATGGACGCGGGAAAATGCCTATCAACATTTTTTCGTGATGGGGGAGACGATTATGATGTCTACATGATCGCGAGAAATTATCAGAATTTTGCTGCAATCGTGAAAGACTAGGATAATTTCCACATGACCGTGGGGGGCTGTAGATATTCTTCATTTTTCCATGTTCGCGGGAGGCTTCGATAACATTTTCGAGACCTCCGGAGATGATGATGGTTAATGTCTGCACGGCTGCAGTAAATGATAGGAATTTTGCGGTGATCACGAAAGACGTAACGATAATGTCCACGTGACCGCGGGAGTTGATCAGAATTTTGCCGTGATCGCGGAAGACTATGATGATGTTTCCGTTCTGAGAGGGATATTCATTCATTATTATGCCCTGACCGTGGGAGACATTGACGATGTCTTCATGGACGTGTAAAATGATCAAATGTTTTTGTGATTGGGGGAGATGATTATGATGTCCACACTACCGCCAAGACGACCAGTGATAGTGATGTCCACATGGCTGTAGGAGATGAACAGACAAATTTTGCCACAATTGCGGATGATTACGATAATTTCCACATGACCATAGGGGTTAGAGATTTCGTGATTTTCCACGATCTTGGGAGACATCGATAACGTTTTCGTGACCCACTGGAAATGATGATGGTAATTCCATTACTGAGGAAGATATTCAGGATTTTGCAGTGATCCCAGAATACGACAAAGCACCACTGCGGAAGATGATATTGCTCATATTATTTCTGAACAGTTAAAGGTAACTTAGTACATTTATTCTCTGCATTAGAGCCTTTAGAGGTGTTTTAAACCTCATTTTAGAACCTTTGCCAAAATTTCCTGGAGTTTTGACCCCTCCCCCTCCCCGAAACGATATCCTGGCTATGCCACTGATTTCCACAAAAACTAGAAGAGCTAAACCTATTCCACCTCCGACTGGATTAAATTATGATATAAAAATTAGCCTAATACCTGAACAGAATAAGGCTTCACTAAAGAATTACCAACATGTTAAGACAAGAGTTAAGCATTTACAAACCGTCAATAAATAAACAAAATAAATAACATGTGATTAAAAATGTATAACGAAGATTGATAAAAAATTATGATTAAACCACGATCACGGGAGATATCGACAAAGTCTATCTACGACCTTAAAGATGTTCACGATTTCTCCCAACAACGTAGTAAGGTAACAGTAACGTTCACGATTTCGCCGCAGAAGACGATCCGTGATGATCTCCGAATTAATGCCAGATGTTCACTTTTCGCCGCGAACTGAACTACAGTATACAATACAAAAACTTAGGCCTACTACCGTACTTCGCTGTGAACAATCGCGAAAGATTACCTCGATTTCGTTGCTACCGCGCGAACCGCGGCAGACGAAGCAGACGATGACAGTTAATCCAAACGCAAGACGTACCGGTATACACAATATTTCGTCGTGATTGCAGGAGAGTAGTTGTCCGCGATCGCGAGCCGCGAGTGTCGATGATTATTTCAACGCAATCCCAAAAGACGCTCACGATTTCATCGCGACCGGAGGACATTTCGTTCATTTTCAATTTCTTTTCTTATTCAAGAGTTTCTAGATTATTGGACCGTCGTAAACAAAGGATCAAGTTAGTTTGATTTGGAACAAAACCACGCACACGTAGTATTAAATCCCCTAAAGGGCTCTAGCCGTATCAAACAGAAGTGGACTTCTTACCCCATTGTAAATTTTGAAGCTCGTTTTTCGTGTCTAGTCCATGTACGTCGACGCACTGATTGCTAGTGTGAACGAAATTTTGTTTATATTATTTTAGCGTTATTTACATGATTTGTGCTTTACTGTTTGGTTATATGGCTCGGAGACTAGTTATTTATAGTGGAATAGATAATCAGTGGCAACGTCGCATCCTCTACCTCTTCAAAGGCCAGTCCTATTCTGTAATCTATTATAGATTACAGAATAGGACTGGCCTTTGAAGAGGTAGAGGATGCGACGTTGCCACTTCGTTCTTGGTCTGTGAGCTGACTTTCACCAATCTTTCACCTAGAGCCCGGCACCCCCCTCTATCGTTCCAGTTGTAGGGTAGTTCAGTTTAACACTACAAATTAATAATGTATTTGTTCTTGGTGGTATTGGTTAGTATTTTTATATTTTTATCATAAGGAACACAAAATTCATCCCATACATTATATATTATGGTTTGATTATTTGCTACACGATTGTCTTTAAAATGGCTCAAACAGCCACCAGATGCAGTTGTTGAAAAATAAACATAAGATTAATAAATTTAACAGTAAATTTATATGACCAAACAATTTGTATAGCAGTTCTAAAAATCTTTTAAAATACTGCTCAGCTTATTGTTTGATACATGAAACAAAATTAACATGAAAATGAAGAGGATCCAATCTACCATATTAATTATTCATTTGATATGGGAACGCCACCTATGAGAGTATTTTAACCTAAATATGAGTGTAGAATGGATTGAGATGCCTTTTGTAGCTTTGTTTCTGGCCTGTTTCGAATTATAAACACACTTTAAAGGGGTCTGACTTAGGGGAGGTACGAATGAGGCATTAGTTCAAAATTCCTCCGTGAACAGCGCTGTAGTAGAGAGTACTTTGGCAAAGAAGGTTTACTAATCGCAAAAATAGTTCTGTTCATAAAATAAAATTATAAATGCCTCAAATTCAATTTTATTATTTTTTAATTATAAAATTTAACTATCATAACCTAACCGAACTAACCAAACTTGCTGATAATGAAATAATATAACAAAAGTTTATTAATAGAAAAAATAATTCTGTTTATTAAATAAAACTAGAAATTGCTCTACTAAAATTTTATAATGACTTAATAATAAAATTAAACCGTCATAACCGAACCAAACCAACCAAACTTGCTGATAATAAAAAATCTTGGACAAAAAGTTAATGCCACGAGCGGGATTTGAACCCAGGACCTTCAGCATATCAGCACGGCAAGCTACCCATTAGACCACCAAGGCCGATGACTACTGACCGTTTTGTTACGGTGATGGCGTTCCCTCAGCTAATAAGAAGCCCACAGCTGTCATCGTAGCCTCTTCTATACCTCCCCTGAGTAAATACCCACTTTAAGGCAATTTCTTGACCAAACAAGAGGATATGCTCGACACGCACAGGTCGGCTGTCGGGCAAAGACTGAGTGCGTGGCACAACTTGGCAACAGTGGACAGTTTTCTGAAACCTTATTGGATACCGCTTGCCCTCACCCCACCCGACTCAAACTGGTTCCGGTACTATTCTGTAATCTATTCCACTATAATTGTTTTTGAGTAGATAGTTTTATCATAGATAAAACCATAGATAAAACATACTAAAACATACTCCCTTAGTAGATTTCTCATCCTTATGGAACAGCTGAAGACAATTTTATTGTTAGTTCTGTACGGTTTATGTAGAGGTCGTGTTTTGTTTACAATTTGTTTCCCTTTATTACAGCCATTTAAAACCTCGTTTAACCAAATAATACGATCTAATCATAAACAATAACTTGTCCCCTAGTTATATAACCAAACAGTAAAGCACAAATCAAGAAATTAACACTAAAATAATAGAAACAAAGTTTCGTCGACACTAACGCCTTTGTGTCACGTACATGAACTAGGCACGAAAAACGTGCTTCAAAATTTACAATGGGATGAGAAGTCTACTTGTGTTGGTTAGTCTATGGTTTTGTTTGGTTAAACGAGGTTTTAAATTACTCAAATAACGAGAAACAAATTGTAAACAAAACACAATAACCTCTACAGTGCAACGTACAGAACTAACAATAAAATTGGCATCAGCTGTTCCAAAAGTAGGTATTTTAAGCCGAGTATGAATTGAATGGAGATGAGTGTAGGATGAGTGGCACGATCTTTTAGTCTTGTTAGTGACTAAGGCCAACTTATTCCTTAGACACAGCTGTTAATTAATAACCCATACATCGTAATCAGAATTCAGAATTGGTACGTTAATGTAAACAAACATAAACTAATTTTAATAATTAATTAATTGCCGACTTTAATGTTAGCTGAAACAGTTTCAATTACATCGAGCTGTAGTTTTGTATTAATGACTTATATGTGCTGAAGACTCACTTTTAAAATATAAAAATAAAATAGACGAATTACATAAGTCACCATATGTCCAATCAATATAATTAATTGGTTACATGATCATAGTATGTGATCATTATTATGATAGATTTTGTTTAACTTTTTTGTTTTCCAGCCTGGAAATTGTTCTTGTCAAATTTTGTTGTTGTTCAGCTGACTGTTAGTTAGTTGATGTTTCATTTTCGTTGTTTACGTTTCGTCAGATTATTGGTTAGTTTGATCGTCTGCAGTGCTGTCAATATTGTGTGTGTAAACAATTGCTGAACTGGAGCAAAAAAAGCTTAACTAATCTTCCTATTTGACAGAAGCACTTATAAAATTAGTACCGGTTCTCGTGAATACTCAGTGAGCTATTAAATAACTATATTTTAACATAAAAACCCATACGACTATAATGGGGAAATCTGAACTAAAAGAAAAACCTGTCAGACGAAGAGGAAACCTAAACCAAAAAGCTCAACAAATTGAGAAAAAAGAGGAAAAGAATGAAGAGGATACGTAAGTTAAGACATTTTTTTACTGGCCTAGGTTTAAGTTACTAAGTGATAATTGTATATTAAGTTAAGCCTAGATTTATTAACATTGATGAACACTGACATATTCTTGTACGTTTGAACATTTGATTTCACCTAATAATTTTAATTTTCGTAAAAAATAATGGTAGCCTATAAGTTAACTTTAATTGGAAATCTGCCTTCTACAGGAACAGTGAACAGGTTGGATTACCCGAGGAGCTTATTAAATTCCCAAATTAAATGCCTAATTGACATTTATTCATAACACGTGGTCGCAGAAGATGTGGACAACGTCCCCGCTGCAGAAGACGTTTCATATTTTGCCATGATTGTGGGGAATGGTGATTATGTTTCCGTTATGGCAGGAGACGCTCAATATTTTCCCAAAATCACAGAAGATGACTATGATGTTTCCTTTAGGTACCGCAGAAGATATCCAGGAGTTTGCCATGTTTGCAGATGCAAATGTAGTCTCTGTGAACGGGACACAATGATGATCTTTCCTGCAGGATATATTTTACTTCATATATATCTTACTGCAGGATATATTTTAAAGTGTTTGCCACAATCGCATATAGACCCCTAACTATGAGAAAGTTTCCGTAAGTTAGTTGCTGGAGACAATGGTGATGTCCCTGCCGGTTCGAGAGATGTTTGATATTTGCCACCATCCCCGAAGACGATGATGATGTCCATAGTGAGGATGTTATTTATGGTTTTTGCCACGATCAGATCAAAGAAGAAGATGATGATTTTTTCTGTGACTGGGGGATACGTCTAGGATTTTCCCACAATAGCGGAAGACTATGGTAATGTTCATATCACCATGGGTAATATTTAATATTTGGCCTCAATCGTGGAGGACGACGATAAATGATTCTGTGATTTTAGAAAACGATGATGATATTTTATAGATTGTGATAGATAAACATAATTTTTGCCGCGATTGCAAAAGGCGGTGATGATCTCCACGAGACCATCGAAAATAGTCACAATATTACCGCAATTAGCATTGTCACAGATAGGCGATGGCACAGTCGTATTAAGCGAGGAGTCATACCTACCTATTTCTAATTAGGCCATAGAAGATAAAGCTAAAACTTGCACAAGTGTGTACAAATAATTCTGGCAATAAATAGATGGCTCTATAGAACAATAGGCCTATACCTATGCCTACACTGAATCTTTCTAGCAAAATTGTGTTTTTCTACTGTGGGTATTGTCAAATGAAATGTAGTTAGCTGTAGCTATTTGGCAAATGTCAATTGTTTATGTTAAACTCATAGTTTGAAGTGAATGTGTGTGGATGCGTATGTTTAGGGATGAAGATTATCACTTTAGTTTTTAGTTATTATTTTGTTAATAATTTTATAAAGTGTTATAAAACCGTATTGTTTAGTTTAAATTTAGTATAAGAGGTTGACTGAAAAAAAGGACCATGTGGACCTAATATTTGCCTCAATAAAAAAGTATTTTCATTTCATTTCATAGTGTTGTTATATGTTTCAGAAGTAAGCCCCCTGGGCTAAAGTTTGGACCTATGCCAACTTTTCAAAACCAAAGAGTGTTCACTAGAGGAGTAATGATATTGGCAACGCTGGCAATTGTATATTTCACTTCTAAAAGTCATAAAGAAACAATTTTAGCATCACAGAAAGAATTAATTCAGGGCAGAGGTCAAAATTTCCCCTGTTCTGCTGATTACTCCGAAGAGTTGACCGAATTTCCAGGTGAGAGTCTGTATATGTATATAAACAAAAAGATGTTCATTGGCTTGCTAAAAAATTATGACTAAGCTTAGCTGTAGGAAAAAACACAATGTTTTACCTTGAACAGGGCCGGATTTAGCATTTTTGCGCCCCTAGGCCCAAATAATTTTCCGCCCCCTAGTCTGGTCACAGTTACTTTCCTTCAAACCTTTATTAAAAACTATATCATGCCCATAGGCCGAAGTTAATTGCTTGAATACCACTCCTCGTTGGAATCATTGCAAGTTTTTTTTTTTTAGAATTGACTTGTTTAGCCTTAACAAAATACCGTCTTAAACACTTTTAGCAATTTTATGCTTTTTTAAATAATTGCTCATGTTTGTGGCCGTGGGGGTGGGACTGAAACAAAACAACTGAACCCAACCGAGCATTCCTGCAAAAAAACATGGCCATTGGTTCCAATTATTCCAGGCCCAAAAACATGAACTCTATAAAGTACGTGACACCATAGATTAAACATGCGTACTCCTTTAGTAGATTTGTCATCATTTTGGATTAGCTGAAAACAATTCTTGTTATTTAAGAAGTATGTTTATCTATGTTTAAATCAAGTTTATCCTAAATAAAACAATCTAATCATCAACAATAGGTCGTCTCCTGTTTACCCTACAAGAAATTAAAACACACATCATAGAACTAACCCTAAAATAATAGAAACAAAATTTACGTTAAACTAACATTCAGTGTCACCAACATGAACTACACATGGAAAAATTTTGAATTAACAATGTTATGAGAAGTCGACTTGAGTTATATTTAATCCATGGTCGTACTGCATCTAGGTTATATTTCCAAAGCAAAACAGAGCAATATTCCGGCCAACCGTACCGATCCTTAGGCCTGAGGAGAAAATGACAGCATTAATGGTGCTTTGGTGGGTATTGAATTTTTCTAAAATTGAATGCAAACTGAGATTAATATTTTTTCGTTAATTTTAAAGGTAAATAATTCATTGTTGTTTTAATATTCAACAAAACTTATGATATAGGCCTATTTTAACTCGATCCTGCAGATAGTTGTAAACTAATCAAAAGATTAGTTAATAAATAACTTTTGTTTTGTGATTTGAGGTTTGTAACAATGTCATGTCTTGCACGCATGCACCCCTTATCACTCTGATCAGTAGTGCCGAGCCCGACCCAGCATAGTGGCAGTGCAGTGGCAATACGATGCGTACCCCTTGGGCGCTCGTCAACGTCAACATCCCTACAGCCTACTCCCGTATAACCAATGTTCGTTACCAATTTTGTAACGAAATTGATGCGTAATTCTGAAAATATAGTTTAAATTTCATAACAATTATTTCTTCTTATGAACTTCAGAATCACAATGCTTTAGAGGTTTTTTTATCAACTATGACTATTTATTTTTATTTTTAGATAGCCTAGGTATAAAAAAATTACTCTTGGCCGTGCACCCTCTGGGACCTTGCGCCCATAGGCCCGGGCCTATTGGGAAATCCGGCCCTGACCTTGAAAACGATTTAACATCTACAATATAATTCTTAGGTTAAAGCTATTCAAACTGAGGCAAAAATTTTTAATTGTCTCTGACAAGTCAGAATTGAATCAATCTTGTAAAAAGCAGTAAAAGAACTTCTAGGCTGTAAGATATTTTCCTTGTTAGCCTATTATAGTTATTTCTTAAATTTGAAAATATTTTTGTAAGACTTATTATGTTACTAGCAGAGTGTCCTTCGTACGGGGTTGGAATATAAATATAAAAATGCTTATTGCAGTTATACTCAAGCTTTGCGTTTGCAATAAGGGAGGACACAGTTTGATAAAATTTGCTTTTTTAAATTTACAGTATTCTATAGTATTACACATCTACCATAGCCATAATGTTCTACCACTTCACCTAAACAATAGAGAAAAATAAATTATCAACAATTCGCAAAATATCACAAATTATTCATGAAATGAAAAACTTAAACATAACTGTAAACAATTCTACTTTGACAGTTCTCATTGTGAATAACAGTTTTTTGTTGCTGCTTAGTTCAAATTAGCTGTTTTCATAAACGCAAAAAAATATAGTGCTGCACCCTGTTGGTAAATCTTATTGAGCGGAGCGAGCAAAGCTCTTATACGTCGACTTTTATGCATTTCGTAATACGCAAACTCCTCCTAAACGGCTGAATCAATCGTTTTCAAATTTAGCATGGTGATAAAGACCATATCGGTGAGTGCCAACATCTATATGGCGTTAAAAAAGTCTCTTAGGAATCCGCCCCACTGGGTCTCAAAGTTTCAATGTAATTCTTATGGAAGCAGTATTTGACACATAAACAAAGACATATGATCAGCTGTTGACTTTTGAATGCAGTAGATAAATAAATAGCTGATAGCATTCTTCCACTGATATTAGAACATAAACGGTGATATGGATCATAAATATAATCAAATGACGACACTAGCTTGAGGTCCGTGACGTAGGAAGTGGTGAAGGAAGTAATAAAGGTGAATAGTCTGGAGTGTGGAAACTGTTTAAGACGATTAGATTTAGGTAGGTATCTGAATTCCTAAAATTCTATGGGAAGGGAGGAAAACGGGTCCGTGACGTAGGAAGTGGTGAAGGAAGTAGTCAAGGCCGAGCTGCCCGGAGTGTGGGAGCTGTTTATGACGATTAGATTAAGGTATCTGCATTCCTAAAATTCTATGGGAAGGGAGGAAAACGGGTCCGCGACGTAGGAAGTGGTGAAGGAAGTAGTCAAGGCGAGCTGTCCGGAGTGTGGGAACTGTTTATGACAATTAGATTAAGGTATCTGCAATCCTAAAATGCTATTGGAAGGGAAGGAAACAGGTCCGTGACGTAGGAAGTGGTGAAGGAAGTAGTAAAGGCGAGCTGTTCGGGGTATGGGATCTGTTTATGACCATTAGATTAAGGTATTTGCAATCCTAAAATGCTATGGGAAGGGAGGAAAACAGGCCCGCAACGTAGGAAGTGGTGAAGGAAATAGTCAAGGCGAGCTGTCCGGAGTGTGGAAACTGTTTATGACTATTAGATTAAGGTATCTACAATCCTAAAATGCTATAGGACGGGAGGAAAACAGGTCCGCGATGTACGAAGTGGTGAAGGAAGTAGTCAAGGCGAGCTGTCCGGAGTGTGGGATCTGTTTATGACCAATAGATTAAGGTATTTGCATTCCAATAATGCTAAGAGAAGGGAGGTAAACAGGTCCGTGACGTGGGAAGTGATGAAGGAATCAGTAAAGAAGAGTTTTTGGGTGTGTGGGAACTGTTTAAGACGATTCGATTAAGGTATCTGCAATCCAATAATGCTAAGGTAAGGGAGGTAAACAGGTCCGTGACGTAGGAAGAGATGAAGGAAGTAGTAAAGGCGAGTTTTTCGGAGTGTGGGAACTGTTTATGACAATTAGATTAAGGTATCTTGGTATCTACAATCTTAAAATTCTATGGGAAGAGAGGGAAACAGGTCTGCGACGTAAGAAGAGGTGAAGGAAGTAGTAAGGTGATCAGTGTGGAGTTTGGGAACTGGAAACCGTTTGTAGCAGTTAGAATAATGTATCTGCAATGCTGAAATGCTATGAGAAGGGATGGAAGCATGCCCACGACATAGAAAATGGTGAAAGGAGTAGTAAAGGCTAGCAGTGCGGAGTGTGGGCAATGTTTGTGGCAATTAGATTAACGTATCTAAAATACTAAAATGCTATGGAAAGTGATGAAAACAGGTCCACGATGTAGGAAGTGGCTTAGGAAGTAGTAAAGTATGAACATATTGTGAGAACCGTCTGTGGCAGTTAGATTAATGTATCTTCAATCCTAAAATGCTATGAGAAGGGAAGGAAACAGGCCCCACGACGTAGGAAGTGGTGAAGGAAGTAGTAAAGGCTGGCAGTGCAGAGTGAGGGAACCGTTTGGGCAGTTAGATACATGTATCTAATACTTCAATGCTATGTGAAGGGAAGGAAAAAAGTCTATGACGTAGGAAATGGTGAAGGAAGTAGTAAGGCTTGCAGTGCAGAGTGTGGGAACTGTCTTTGGCAATTACATTAATGTATCTGCAATCCTAAAATGCTATGGGAAGAGAGGGAAACAGGTCCACGACGTAGGGGGTGGTGAAGGAAGTAGTAAAGGTGGGCAGTGTTGAGTGTGGGAATGGATAATGTATCTGCAATTCTAAAATGCTATGGGAAGAGACTGTAGACTGCAGGTTAAAATGATTATGAAGCACGAATCGTGACATATTTCGATACGTATTCAATAGTGTACAATAGAAATTTACATCTGAGTTGACAACAGCTAAGTTTTACTCCATAGAGGCTAAAAACGAATTTATTCCCTAAAGAGTAAAAAGGCTTCTTTAGACCCGCAACGCATGCATCAATGACGACTGTTTTTACTGCAGTATGACAAAAACAATATAATATGAACCCTTGATGACTCCGCTAAATTTTGTGGATGCATCTGCGAACGCCACCTAGTAACTTTTTAATGCTTTTCCATATCATAGAACCAACTTTTTTAGTTGAAACAGCTGACTAAATTCTTTAATTCCCTTTAAATATGAATACTCATAAGGTTAACATGGGGAATTACAGAGCCACTGGGGCGGAGCCCGAAAGGATTTTTGAGATAAGAATATGCCTATATGTTAATCGGGAATGTAAGCTATCATCGTGCCAAATTTCAGCCCAATCCGTCCAGTGGTTTATGCGTGATTGAACTTCAAACACACAAACAAACAAACAAACAAACAAACACACAAACTTTCACATTTATAATATTAGTAAGATAAGATAAGATAACTGACTCATATTTCTAGACGTAGGCCTACCCTCAAAAAGTTTTGGGCGATGATTATTTTGAAGTGAGGCTTTAATCCGGTTTTTTTGTGTATGTCCTATGTTGTTTAGAAGTCTAGAAGGTCAGTTGCGGAAATATCATCGTTGTCTCCCCTGAAACTTATCGTTGTCTAAGTGAATGTGTGAAGTTTTCAATTACACAATCTTCGCAGACGAGTCCTGTAATTTAGATTAAATCATGATAGTAAAAGCATGGCTCGATTTTAAATTTCTGACTGCATTCGAGCTTGTAGAGAGGCGGGGTTTGTAAATTTAGCCGCTCACACACCTCTATGTTTAGCTTTAAGCTATCACAAGAAGTCTGTTATGTCGATGCCAGATATAAGGGGTTCTACTGTAGACTAACTCTATGTCCTAGGTTGTGTACCTGAGAGATGTGGAAGGCATGTGTCCGATCGTCTGGTGACAGCCGCAGAAGCTGAACAGCTGTTAGATATTGGACGTCGGGGCCTAGCGCGAGGTAGTCCAGCAGGCGGCGCAACAATACTGGACTTGCACTCTGGTGCATTGTCATACGGAAGAAACTTCATCAATGTGTACACTCTTAACGACACTGAGCAACTTTTTTCAGTCAAGGACTTTGCTATTTATAGGTACAGTTTCATTCCGGATCAAGTTTATTATTATCCCTTATTTAACTAATCAGGAAGATAAAAATGGAACTACAGAACTATATGCACAAATGGCTTTTACTTAAACAACTCCAACCTTGTATTTATTAATCAAAATATTTACAGTATATATGCCGTTAGTTTGTTTTGAAATTGAATATCCTAATCCCCCTGATGGCACTACCAATGTAAGCTTGTTTGTTGGACTCAAACTCCATTCTGCAACTTCTTCCAAATTTAACTACTGTATAGCCTATTGAAACCAAAGAAAGAGTTTATTAGTTCTTCCACGATAATGAAGCTCCTTTCCCGAGGGAAAATATAGGCTATGGTTTAAATGTGTTGTGTTATCTTTAGCATTTGACCTGAACTGTTTTCTAATGTATACACAGTTTGTGAGAGATTATAGTACACAAATCTAGAAGTAGTAATGTAATTTGTTTGGTAGTAGTAATGAAGAAGTGGGTGTTTGACAGGGTGGTGAGGACTAAGATTCAACATGCTGTGGCTCATCAGTTTGGGATATCAGCTGATTCATTGTATCTGACTCATCCAACCTTCTTCTCACAGCTGACTGACTTGCCTCCTGTCACCATCCATGACGAGTACTGGCATCCCCACGTTGACAAGGTGATGTAAAATTTGTGTGCTCTGTTTTTTTTTTCATAACAAAGTTAGTGAAATTGATTCACAAGTTGATAGAGTTAACTTAAATCATATAAGAATTACAGTTCGGCCAAAACTTCTGTGCGCGTGGACGGTTCGCTACTAGCCAAATTAAAACATACAGGCACTGGCTATTGGCAGTGCTGGGGGTAGGGGCGAGTGAGTAGCAAACACAAATGTTTTCACAAAAGTATCCCGCCAACCCCCTCACCAAGACCTAACCAGATCTGGTCGCGCACACAGAAACTTTGGCCGAACTGTACTAGTTGATCTGCCCATGTTTTCCTAAAGTGTGAGAATACAGAAGAGAATGATGCGGCTTTTTAAAACCACATAAGAAACACTTGCACACACTTACAGGGATCATAGAGGCAAAGCTCGATCAAAATATAATTCATGATTAACACAGTCAAATGCTTTTGACAAGTCACAGAAAATACCTTTTGTTACTGTGTGACTTATCCCTTGTCACTAAATATGTCCAGTTTTACATTGGGAAGAAGGAGCAGTATGCCATACAAAAACATGAATTAACATATTCTTTTCTTAAAGTGACTATTGTAATATTAATAGAAAACCATTTGGTTTTGCAGGACACTTATGATGCTTTCCATTACACGTCTCTTCTGTACCTCAACAACTACCAACAGGACTTCAAAGGTGGTCGGTTCATATTCTTAGAAGCTGACAATTCCACTGTGGTTGTAGAACCAAGGAAAGGTAAGGTCAAACAAAATGTGATCAGGGTTTGGATCGTTATCTTACATAGTATACAAGAGGTTAAGTTACCTTGATTCTGTCCAAGTAATCCTTAAGTCGTCATTAGTGCGACCGGTTTCGATGCCTATGGCATCATTGTCAAGCTGAACTTAAAAATCGCTCCTAGGAGGTTGTCAGAAAAACACGTAACACTTAACACGTACACAAACAAAAACCGATAAAATTCATGGCCACACAACTAATTTACAACACCATTGGTGTGGCCATGCATTTTATCGTTTTTTGTTTGTGTACGTGTTATGCGTTACGTGTTTTTCAAGACTCATGACAACCTCCTAGGAGCGATTTTTACGTTCAGCTTGACAATGATGCCATAGACATCGAAACCGGTCGCACTAATGACGACTTAAGGATTACTTGGACAGAATCAAGGTAACTTAACCTCTTGTATACACTCATGAAGTAATCCGGAAGGCAATACACAAGATGAAGGATCTTACATAGATGCAAAATATGCCACAGAATCCCAAAAGAAAGCAATTAAATTAATTAGCCTATTAAATTATTTGAGACAGTGACACACTCTTAGGACTAGAGGCTAGAGTGTATCGAAGAGCGTAGCTAAGCGGCCTTTAGATCATACATGTACGTAAGTGCATCAAAAAATAGTAGAGCGTAGCGGGTACCCGAACAAAAACCTTAGCCGCTCAGCTCCGATATTCTACCCCGATTTCTTTACCTTGAGGGTTTGGTTGAGGGTTGAGCAGCTGTGGCCAAACTGACTTTAAAATGAAGTTTTATTTTCTCAGTTTGTGAACGCTGCCCTGTTTGGGACAAGGAATAATTTTACTACAATATTTGAAATTATATTGTGTAATTCTTGTTTTTTTTTTTGAGTGACATATTTAATATACAATTTATCCTGTAGGTTATAGAGTGTTTTTTTTTACTTTTTTGTACAATTATTAGAAGTTCATATAAATATATCATGCAATTTTTATTATTTGAAATATGTAGGTAGTTTTTCAATGAATGGACACTTTGCTGTGTACAGTTAAAAGTAGTGTGTGGTTAAAAGTAGAAACTATGTTCAGAACTCAGTGAAAATATTGCCAACTCACTAATAACATGCTATTAATCAGTCAAACCAGGTGTACAAACAGTTTTTCCTATCTAATGGCATGGTGTTTGGGAATAAGTTCAAAAGTTTTAAAACACCATTAGATATATTCGTGTTTTTATAAAAATGTATAACAAGCAGTTATCTTATGAATTTTTGAGTATTTATTTAAACTACACCTTCTATTACCTTGAGACTTTTATTTTATTTTTAAGCATTTATTTACATGCAATTGGCATAGTCAAGAACAATAAATAGCCTACATGTGATTGAAAACTTAAACATAACAAGTAAAAACATTAGTAAAAAGCTAGGGTCTTCAGGACCAGACCCTTTTACAGGTTGGATGGGAAATGTTGACCTTGGGTTGCTTTAGAACATAATGATTTAAAAAAATACCAATTGTCATATTACAACGAGTTCATAAAATATCTTCCGCGATCGTGGTAAAACCACGAAGGTCTCCTACGATCGCGGCAAAGTCAATAACATCTCCTGCGGTCTGGGCAAGATCTAGACCATTTACTGAGGTCTCGATAGAATTCAAAAAATTATTTCTATCCTCGACCAATCCATGGGGCCCTTAAAAGCAAAAACATGTGGCTAAATATGTGCATGCAGAACAAAGATCAGAAAGCAATCAATCCTCGAAACAGACTAAGAAGAAATGTTGGAAAAAACAAATATTTCACAGAGCAGAGTTAAAAAACATAAAAATAAGTTCCTTTTTGGAATTTTATAAACATCATCCATTAAAAACTTGGCTGAATGTGGTTAATGCGCCTTCTGCTAACCTGCCCATTGTCCATCCCGATTTGATAATGCAAGCCTTATTTCCTTCTTACATTTCCAAATGTCCACTTAACAACTCCATATTAATTTACTACTATCCTCGGTTTCCAATAGGTTGACTCACAATTAATTCTCCTATTCTGATTGACAGGCCGAGTGTCCATGTTCACCTCCGGGAAGGAGAACCTTCACCACATTGAGCCGGTGACCTCGGGTGAACGGTTCGCCCTCACTGTCTCATTCACCTGTGATAAGGATTTCGCCATCAGTGATCCCTCTCTCCCCACCACCAGTTGATAACTGTGATAACCTGTGCACTTTCAACTGTTAGTGTAGTATTTAGTGTTTACTTTGTTGTTAATCATAAGACTGAAGTTTGATGAGTCGAGATAATCTCCTAAAACACCCTCACCACTTTTATTCAGCACAGTATTATTAGTTTAATTGGTCAGGAATATGTTGGATGTAGAACATAAGGCAAATCTATGTGACTGATTTAGGAGCCAAAATTAAAATATGCAGTATAACAAATTTGCAGTGTTAAATGGTTCAGAAACATAATCTTTCGACTTTTAAATTAATTGAAACATAATGTTATGCTGCCCTAATTATATAATAATACCATTGACTTTATATCTACACAGAGATGTAGATATATAGGTGTAGATATAAAGTTAATGATAATACCTATAATACTTGTTCAAACCAATAATATTAAAAATAATTTGTTTACCAAAAATATATTTACTATGTTTAATTTTTTTTTTAGAGGTTGGCTGTGTCTTTTAACCTTACAATTGCCTGTCCAAATGGACCTCAAAGGTCTGTAGAGTTTGTGTGTTTCTTCGTGAAGCCTGGGTGTGAGGGGCTGTAGTGGCAAGTGGGGAGCCGAGCGCGAGAGGGGAAGTTGACGTCTTCGTCCTATTCGGCTACTAGTCTGACAAAAGACATTTTTCGGAGTTCGGACCATGGTGCAGATGCGGTTCAGGTTGCTTCCACGAGTTGTGTGATCATATTAATGTAGGCTAATTAAGGTTTCCATAACAAAAATGAGTATTTTCAATAAATATCTAATTTTTTACCTCATTAAGAGGAATATGAAAATGTTTATGAACAGAGGATAGACTATTTTATTAAATCTTTATATTAAAACTTAGAGTAGGCTATTTTTAATACTTCAAAAATTACTCTTTATTCTTTATTGAGCCAAAGATTTTTCGTGAGCAAAAACAAGTAGGCCTACAAATAATGCAATACTATTAAACAAAACTATGGCTTAAACATACAAGAAAAAATTGTATTTTCACACCACTGTAAACTTAAAAATAAAAAAATTAAGTGTTAAGATAATCAAACTGGCATCCCAAATGTTTTTGAAAAAGATTGTATCCGCGATGGTGCTAGGACAGGGTGAGAGCGCAGACTGATTTTCGGCGTACCCCCACCCCTACAAAACCGGTCCAGAGCCACTCTAACCACCTACCCCCAGGCTTCACCAGGAAACGTATAAGCTCTAAACAAAGAGCATAACAAAAAGTTTTATTTTTTATTTTAGGCCTACAAAATTGCAGTAATATCCAAAGAAAATAATATACTTTTTGTGTTTTTTAAACGTTTTATGCACTTGCTTGTTTTGTTTTATAAAATAAAATGTTCTTGTTAGTGGGTTGTTAGTAGCAAACATGAAAAAAGTACTTATACATTCCTCTACTTCTGTTTGCCTCAAAGATTCATATGTTTTTACTATTTATTGCTTAGTAGACCATCATAAATGCAAGTTCCATTTCCAACTTGATGTTAAGTATGTAGACGTAATAGTCAATGACTGTACTTAATTAGTTAGTACCGATAGGTAAGCGAAAATGTACAGTAAACCCTTATTAATTGGTATTACTTTGGTTCCTTGTGTCCTATGATAGAATAAAATAAAATAATTTTTTGTAATGTAATTTTTCTGAAGACGAAACGTGGGAAATTACACCACCTAACGATAAACGAAGATAAAAACCCCCCTACACATTTAGCTGGTTACATTTATATGAAAAAGGATGTTCTCAAGACCAATCTCACTCATACTTTTGCCAATTAACTTGTCAGCATGTATCTTAGATAAGCAGTGGGATGGGAACAACCTATGATACCTCATGGGGGAATGACAAAAGTTGCAACAACCTTTGGGGGTTGTACCATTTTGTTTGGAGTTAAAAGACCATAATATTTTTAATTTTTATCAGAGGCGCATGACTGACAAAGATTAATGACTTTTTTTTAAATCTGGTGTCAAATGGCTATAGAGATTAAGCCAAGATTGTATTGATGAAGGTTTTACTGTACTTTTTTTCTTGTTACCAAGTCAAATCGGGTAAGTGTAGTACCTATATAAATAATTGGTTGGTCCAGCATTCTGATGGTTTATGTTATTTTACATTAACTAGTCCATAAACTTTCATAATATATCAGTAAAGGCTTTAGTAATTTAAAAACCGTATTTAAAAAATGTTTTACCAATCAACTTTTGATAAATGTATAAGTTTTTTTCAAAAATATTTTACCAATACTCAGAGGGGTTTTATTTTACGATAAAACCCATAAAAATATAAACATAAAGAAAAATTATTTTACACAGTTTTATCTTTAATGATTATTGCTATGTACAAAAAAATTAAGTCTCACAGACTGAAGACACTAAATGTGTGATAATTTTCAAGACACCACTCTAGGGTTAAAGTTTCTACATTAGCTATTTAAAACTGATGTCATTCAACTGTTTAATTTGGTATTCATAATTAAAATATTGTACAGTACTCATGTATTACATTTAGTGTTTGAGTATCTATATTTCAAAATTTTAACTTGGATATAAAATAATGGAAATAAACTCTCAAAGAAACTAATTTGCGTTTTAAAATTATCAATCAATATTAAATAATGGCAATATTAATATATTATATATATATTAATTAATTTATGGTCTTCATTTAGCTCATAAATCAAATATTTGTCAACTTCAGTTAATAGGAAATCAGAAATTGTGCTGCCGTATTTTACAACTTGTGTTTTAAACAAGAGCCAGAAAAAATACAGAGAATTAATTATATAGACTAAAACCTAGGCTCTTGTTACATCCTTTAGAAATTGTTTTAATGTTATCAACACAAAACAATGATTTTTTAAATCTTGTAAACATAACTTAATGCTCAAATTTCAGTTGTAAAAATTTTTACTCTATTATTTAATGCATGAACAGATTTAAACAAAGTAAAAATGGTTTTAGACTTTCATCAGCTCTTTTCATAATGATAACATATAATGATTTGTACAAAATTTTCAAGCCAAACTAAAAAAAGATTTCTTACTTTTACGAAACCCCTGAGTACAGATGGACGATTTTGCTTTCATCATTTGATCTAATTGACAAATTTTATAAAATCTGTAAGTATCCTAAATGTTAAACTAATATATTCATTAAAAACTATACACTGTCTTTTAAATACTTACCAATGGTATGTAAACAATAGATAAAATAAAAAGGTCTTTTGTTGTGTTTAAAATTTGTTTTCTTTGTTAACCTTAATCCCTAGACATGTCAAGAGTTTAAGTAACAAAAAACTGTTCTATATTTGGGGTTTATTTTCCATTAATACGCCTTTTTACATACAGTAGTTTTACTGTAGGCCTATAAGAAATGTTGTTACCAAAAATAAATACCCCCACCGCCATTATCCAGACTAAGTTAATTTCAATTGGCGTGATTGGATTTTAACTAAAATATTTAAAGTTAATTATTAATAAAGAAGTCATATTTATTCCCTGTGTAAAAATGTAGGAGAAGACTGCAAATGTTAGAAGCATCAGACAAACCGTCTTTAAGTACAGTACAAAAACCTAAAATTTGATTCAATTATGAATTGCCATAGAGGGTTTTAATTTTCATTTTGAGTTGTGTACTGGTTAAAAATCCCAAATAAACGCATTAACTTTTGTTAGATACTGGGCTTGGAACTACTGTATGAGCAAACTCAGCAAAAATAGAAACAAATACATTCTATTTGCAAAAAACTTTACATCAATAAAAAAATCTAAAAATAAAAATTGCCACTAAAAGATTAACTTTTGTATATTCATATTAAAACATCTTTATTCGTAAATCATGTACATTGGTGGTACAGTGAATAGACCAGAATACTTAAAAATACTATGGTGGAAAATTCATCAAAAGAATATAATGCTAGATTTATTATATGCTCTTTTAGAATTTTCTTTAATTTGTTTATTTTTTTATGAATTCAGTGACACATTTTAGAAAATCCTTACCAGCATATGTGGGGTTTTTTTTTAAATTTTAATTTGTGAAGCTGGACAAACTCCCTGAAATTATATGAGTGCACTGAATTCATTACTTTTAGCGAATTTCCCATATAGGGAATAAGCTATTACCGTAGTACTCATGGTAAGACCTGGACGTGGGACCGATTTTTTTTAGTTTTGAGGTCCCTAGAGGCCAAAAACACCATCCGTTCAAATTCATATATATATATATATATATATATATATATTTATATATTTATATATTTAAGAAAACTGTAGTGATTAGGGCTACTATTTTGATATATAAAATCATTATTAAAAACTAAGTACCCTTTTTTTAATTCATTTTATTTAACAACGACTAGTTTCGACGATTATGCCATAGTCATGTTGTTTTTATATCTAACAAATACAATAAACATTTTATCTAAATAATAAATACAATCATATGATTTCATAGGTTTTGATGACTTTAGATTTCTTCTGTTTTAAATGGTCTTTATACTATATATAATAATTTTCTCTCTTAATTTAACTGCAGGATTTTTTCAAATATTGGATTGCATTTGTTGATGTTCATTGTGTTAAGTAAATTTTCTGGGTGTTGTTTATAGTTTTTTATAGCCCTAAGAAAAACTTTCAACCGTTCAAATATAATAATCAGTTATAAAACAAAAAATAGTGCTTTTCAAATGATCAATAACAAAATTTCAAAAGAAAATATAGCTAACCAAAATCAAGACAATATGAGAAAATCAGGTATTTATGACATCAAATGTTCTAATTGTGATAAATCCTACATTGGGCAAACAAGTCGAACTTTTGAAAAACGGTTCAAAGAACATATTCAAGCATTAAGATCAGGAAACCGCACAACAATGAAATCTAATTTTGCAGAACATTTAATACAAACAGACCATGATTACAAAAGCATCCACGAAAATTTAAAAATCCTTGAATATGAAAAAGACAAATCAAAATTACATGTTAAAGAAGATTTTTACATTTACAAAAACTATAAACAACACCCAGAAAATTTACTAAACACAATGAACATCAACAAATGCAATCCAATTATTTGAAAAAATCCTGCAGTTAAATTAAGAGAGAAAATTATTATATATAGTATAAAGACCATTTAAAACAGAAGAAATCTAAAGTCATCAAAACCTATGAAATCATATGATTGTATTTATTATTTAGATAAAATGTTTATTGTATTTGTTAGATATAAAAACAACATGACTATGGCATAATCGTCGAAACTAGTCGTTGTTAAATAAAATGAATTAAAAAAATGGTACTTAGTTTTTAATAATGATTTTATATATTTATATATTTATATATATATATATGTGTCCGTTAGCACGATAACTCGAGCAAAAATGAATCTTTTAAAGTGTTTGACATTAAAATTGATTTTTTAAATGAAGTCTTCCCCCTGACTCCTAGAGATAAGCCAGCAGATACTAGTTTGGCCCCCTGAAAGATATTTCTATAGGCATCAATGCAAATTGTGGTTATATCTACTCTTAAGTACTGTAAGAGAAAAATGTAAGCTCTACAAATGTCAACAACATGAAAACAGGATTCAGATTTTACAATGGGGTAAGAAGTCTACAGGCTACTTGCTCTATTCATTCAAAGTCGATGATGAATGTAATAATTAGCTCCTACTACAACTGAAGGTCCTGTTTACAGGCATGGTTTACAGGCTAATTTGGCCATCATCAGCTGTTTTCAACTGACATATCTACAAGACAATAAATAACCAGAACTAACTGTTGTCATCACCGCCATGTTGTTATTAATTATTTCCGTTGTCTTGGGAACTACTTTATAATTCGTTTGCCTTTTATCATTCAGTAGCGCCAAAAGTGACGGTATGAAGGTAGCTTTGTAGTTTAAAGGTCCATGGCCCTCTAAGAAAAAAAATAGCGCAAGTAAAATGCAACTACAATATAATTATTGTGTTTTTTCCAATTTATTCAAAACCAATAATTTGTGAATAAATTATACGAACAACTAATAGAATTTCTAATTTTACAATTCTCGTCTCACACTTTCATAGTGGCCTTTAATAAAGAGTAACTTAATTGTAAATCAATAGTTTTTAGTATTCAAAATACCATATGGATCTCTGTACCTATTGATCAACTCCAAGTCAAATCTATCTTCTTATAGTGTTAGCAAAACGGGAGTGCCGATGGATACCTGTGGGGGTGCGTGCGTTTGAAGGGACTTGACCTGGTCTCCATCGGCACTCCCGTTTTGCTAACACTGTACTTAAATATCACTAACTGACTCACTGATCACTGTATCTCAAAAACTACTAACCATAAAAAAAAACTCAGGAATTGGCAAGGAGATTCTATTTAGGATCTAGGTTTTCAATAAGAGAACTGTTTTCAAGAAATTCCATCAGGGCTGTGCCCCAGTGGCCTCTAAAGTTCCCATGTTATCCTTATGGAGAAATTATTTGTATACATTTGAACATGTGAATATTTTTTTAATTTTAAACTATGAACATCTGGTTGTATTTACTCGATTGAAATGAAAATATTTGTATTATTATTTTGTGGCTTGAAAATGTGTGTTTTACTGCATTTTGTAATTGTCAAATGAATTTAAAAATCAAGATATGTTAACTATTTTGTTGAAGTATTTAAAATCTGTTTTTCAGCAACTAAATAACAGTAGGTATATTATTTAATGTTTCAAGAATATCCGCCAATGTCAAAGGTACGATTATTTGCAATCGAGTTTCACCTAATATAAGGGATGGCATCTGCCGTCTTCTCTCACTAGGCTACTTTGTGATAATTTATAATGGGTGCTCAAGGGAGAAGATCAGACATGCTTCATAAGTTTAATCACTTCCATGTTCCATCCCTAGGCTGTCAAATCTCTGAGTCCCAAGAAATTCCCCAAAAATAGCACTATCATGCTGCTTTACAATCCCAGTTCACGTTTTTTGGCGGATTGTGTAAAAACTAGCTTGTTATGTTTATTTTTCGTTAGGAAATGCATACTATGAAGCCACATATTAATAAAGACACATTTATGTGACTACATTCTGCTTGGTTAAAAAACATTATAGACTCTGTAGACCTGCAACTGTTTAGGCTCTTATTGGGTTATAGAAACCACAATAAAACATCGTGCAAGGTTTTTATGTCACTTTAATTTGACATAAAATTTCCCAATCAAGTTATGGGAGATCTGACAGTATTATTGGAAAATAAGGTTTTTAAGCATGTAAACCTATGTAAAGCATATACAGCGGGAATAGTTTTCTGGCCAAAATATTATGTAGGTGGTAAGAGTGAGCTGAGCAGTCCAAAGCTCCTGGTAGAATGACAGTTAATGTTGTAAATGAAGAAGTTCTCTCTTAGTCTTAGTTTAATTAACTTGAGTGGTCACATATTTTTACCAATTTTCGTGAGCGAAGCCACGACGGGGTGAGCTAGTCAAAATATAATGTTTAAATTTAGTTTATAGGCTTAATGCTGTCTTAGATTTTAATTATCTATTATCAGGTTGTCAAAATGTTACGATTGACAAAATAACTATTCAAAAACGATCTGATCACAAATTCGTTAAGAATTAAAACCCCAAGTAGGGCTAGTTGTTTCTTATTCCACCATTACATAATGAGTAATATTAACCTTACATTCATAAACTTCTCTCGAAACCTTTGAAGCGACCAACAAACTACAATACCAATAAATAGTGGTTTTGCTGATTTCAGTGGTATACTTGCAATTTAGACAACATTATATTTTGGACCTAGGTAGATTTTAAGTACCATCTGAGAGAATATATTAATTTTACTCGATTTTGAGCAATGATCTTATCATGCTTCCAAGAATATTAACTGGTTGAACAATCAGAACGTTACAGAAACCAATGAAATCTACTGTTTATTCCACTAAAAACCCAGAGCCTTAACAAAACCATTTGATACAATTACATTATTTCTGTGAAATTGTTAATTTTCATTGCGCACGCGGAAGCTGTTGTTCTCGCTGCGCAGTGCATCAAACCATCAGTCTTGCGCGGTCTGCGGCGGCGGCAGCGACGTTGTTGTGGTGCGGAGTTTGAGGTTATGTTTCACGTGAATAGCTTGCCGGGTGAACACTACTTTACGGAAAATACTGAGAAGATGCTTGACAAAACTTAGTAAATGGTAAGATACCCTTATGTTTACTCTCTAATTGTTATATGTCTTGTTGATCTGGGGGATTTCAGGGTTTACAAACTAATTAGGCCTAAACCTCAAATTATTATTTGGGGTTTTATTGTTTGAAAATAAAACCTCTCTAATTTTTATTTTAGATACCAGGGTTTAAAATCAAAATACTCCCTAATCGGTGTCCTTTCTTTTAAATAATGATCGATGTATGGTTATTTGTTTTTTTAATTTAGGTGTGAACAGAAAAGTTCGTTTTCTTGTGGATTTCAGGGTTCAAAATACTTAAACCCCCTCTCCAAGTGTTTTGTATCTGATTCTTTACATGTGTAAAACCAACATTAATAATTGTACTGACATAACTAAACATTTACCGTAGGTGAAATAAAGCAGTTTACATTTGGTTACATAATTTAGGTAGGAACATAAATTTGTAAAAGCCTACGTTTTTCTTTGCGATTTTTGGGTTTGAAATACTTGATCTTCTGTTTCCTTTCAAATTGTTAAGTGGGGTAAAAAAAACTAAAATTATTCTTTGATTACGAAACCAAACTTTTCTCACACTTAAAACTGATCAAGTCCCTTAGTGGACTTTTTATTTCATAATTGTATGTGTGTAGGAGAAGCAATTGTTTATTTGGGGATTCAGGATTCAAACCATGAAATACAAAAAATAATATCATACAAATATATCGTCATTGAAACGGTGTTAAATTTGGCCAAAGGACAAGAAATACTCAGACAAAAAAAAAATTATAGAAGGTGAAACGGTCTAGATAATTATTTTACCTTTCTTTGTCTTGAGCCAGTCCATAAAACATTCATAGATATTAATAATAAAATCACTACGGATAGATTTATTTGTATATTTAATACCGTACTTATAATTCACCGAGAATATTAGTTCAACAATCCTTTTGTATTTGGCTCTACTCTTTTTCTATTTCCCATGTCCCATTTCGGGGTTTCATACTTTATTATGATGAACGCATAAACAATGGCTTACAATAATTTAATTTTTGTGATTTCCAGATTTTAAAAAGTTGTTGACAAACCCCACTTTACATCATCACACTTTCCTTACCCACATGATCTAAGCTTATTTCCATTATAAAACCGGCCACAACTTAAAAAAAAAGTTTAATGCATTCATGAAAAAATTATCCTTGTAAACAAGAACTATTTTTATTTTATTTCCAAGAATTAAAAGAACGCCCTCCCCCCAGGAAAGAAATTGGCAAAGTTCTACTTCTTCCAGGACCAATTAATTCTCTCAACATATTATTTACACAATTACTTCCCTCACACCATTGCTGATTCAGTGTTTTCGGTCAGGTAAAACCACAGTAATTCAGCCGGCATTGTGATGTTGCAGTGTTGTGGTGGATGTCCGCGCCGACGCCGTGACCGACTATGATGTACTACGCACGCGCAGAGAAGATACGCTAAAAGCCGCGTCTGCCATCAGTGGAGTGTTGTGTGTTTAGTGGATTGTGGTTCCAGAAAGGGATTTGGATTACCTTTTTATCAGGTGAGGCTTTTCCCCTTTCAGTGGTTTTTTGTATTAAAGATAAGCATCATTGGGATACGATGGCGTAAGTTTGTAATAAGTTAAGTGATAGAGCGACGCACTTGGTTTATTTACATTGACTTTTTGTTACTTGGGTTAATATTACATTAATATGTACCAATTCTATGTAGTGTTCATGAAAATAGGTCATAGTTCTATGAACCACTCATTGGTCAACATTAGCACTAAAACGTAACCAACACGAAATACATTGAAAGAGGCTTTGGGGGTTTACAATAAAATGAGCAGTCTATTTGCAGCATTCAAAGTTCATAATTTATAGTCAAGGGTGTCATCCAAACTAAACATGATTCGAACAGTAGTAACGAAAGATGAGTGTAGAATGAAGAGAGGCTTAGATTTGTTCCTATCTAAAAAATATCGGGTAAACAGGTCGCTAAAACATTTACAAAGTTGTATCTAATGTTCTGCTCCATGTTTATAAAATTGTGTGTCGTGCTACCCACCTTTGTACCTACCCGTACCAACGAAGTAAAATGTAAAAATCCAAACGTTACATCAATCCAAGCAAAGGAAAGATTACACTCTAATTTGATTTATGTAAACTTAACATAAACAAGGCCATTTACTCTTTAGTGAACAACTATGTACACTAATGAATGCATTTAGCAAATTTCCCACAGTTTAGCAAACATTGTGGAATAAACCGGCAAACATCAAGCCTACTTTGCTCTCATTAGGCTCAACCATAACTTCTCAAAGGGGGCGGAGACATAGTACTATGTTGCAAATTCTCACATTTTTATTTTTTATGGCATCTTTACAACGCATTTGGCCGTGAGAGTGGAACAATACAATCATAATTTTATGCTGTGTTAAGGTCATACGGTGTTTTGCACCGTGGATTTTGAGATTAAAACTTTGGTTGTCTAATTTTTTAACAACACAACTATTGTTAGTAGTATTTGCTAACTGCATTATTTCATATAGTAAACAATAAGCATAATACACGGCTAAGCACTAAAACTACGAAAAAATTATTCTTTCCATTGGTTAATTGGTTTAATAGCCTTATGTGATCGTTGTTTAATAGTTTATAACCTCAGAGAAAGAATCTATGGATTCCATATTATACATTAAACTACATACATAAAAGATTATTTCTATAATCGAGGAGGAACACTGGTAACGCGATAGTACAACACGTCAATGCATCAATGGAGGTTCAGTAGCACGAAACTCGATAAGAAGTCAATTTGTATTAAAAGGTAAATCGATTTTATCATTCACGATTTTGCCTTTGAAGATATACAAGACAATGTTGTAGATCGGTAGACAAATTATATCATAGGCATTATTCAATTAGGCTACGCGAGTTTGCTGCTAGGGAGGTCAAGGTTTATTTTTAAAAATTGATTAGTAATTCGTTTGACTTAAATCCAATCAATATGCAACCAATTTTACCAATCTGTATGTACTGTACAGTACTTGTCACCACAATACTCTAGGACTCAAGAGTTGTGTCGTTGCGAAAGCCTTCGCCCCCCACGGAGGATCTTCGGATATAAAGTTCGGGATTTTGAGTGTCCCGCTGCGCCAGAAATCCTCCGAAAATTACGAGACACGTTACCCAGACAAGTTAGACAACATTTAGATAAACTATCGCCCATTCAGTGAAATCATCGCCATACGTTACCTACTACTTTTACTGCATCATTAGGTGACTTTAGCCATCCTTAAATCAAAACTGTCATTAGTTGAAAACTTTGGAAGGTAAAAAATGGATGTGGTTTTAATGTTTTGGTGATTTCCAATCCATTTAAAATCTAATTTTATCTCATACTAGTGGCCTGTAGGGGCCATAGCCCCTAATTTAGACACAATTGTCCATATGAAGGCAACTCCCCAATTCGTGGTAGTAAGTCAGAAACATATCTATGAATTTGTCCCTGAATTTTAAAACATTAAGGCCCATTACCCGGGATCTCTGTTTGTGTAGTGGAAAGCGACGCTACACAAAATTTTTATGAAGTTAGAATTTATGTAAAAACATTAATTTACTTTTAGTTCATCATATAATTGTGGTTGTGACATGTTAATGATTCCATTGTGGCAACATGCGTCGAAATGTCCATTTGTGGCCTCCTCTGCGAAGTGAAATGCGTCACAATGCATGCAAATGCTGTTAAGAGGATCTAGATTGTGAGAAACAACACTCAACTCATTTTCCAGCGTTCTTCTGAAGGCAGGTTGTAAACCAGCTTGTGGATTTCTTTCATATTTAGGCGTTCTCTTTCAGCATTTCTTGTGTTAGTTGAAATCCTGGATACTCTTCCACGTCTTGCAGGTCTTCCCCTACCCTGTCTAGTTACTTCACTCATTATAAAAACGGAAAAAAAAGATTCCTGGATACTCTTCCACGTCTTGCTGGTCTTCCCCTACCCTGTCTAGTTACTTCACTCTTATAAAAACGAAAAACAAAAAAATTAAACAAATAAAATTCATTTTGAAACATTATTTACCAATATTGACTTTCGGAATAAATGTAAACATTGCAAATAAATAAGTAACAGCTGATAGAATGCAGACGTTTTTCAGTCCCCATGCATTTCTTATGGTGGATATTTTACGTTATATCTCGTTTTCTGGTAATTTTATGGGAATTCTGCTATTTTTCCCGAGTCCCTGGGGTCAAGACCTTTAATTTAAGACCCCTCCCACTTTTCTGCGACTTACCAGACGTCCACAATTTTCTGGTAAAAATTTTGTCTTACAGAATTATATATACGAGAGGTCGTCCAGTGGTCGAAACTCGACCAAAAATATGTAATGTACTCACTTATCTATTTTCACCCCACACTGTAAATAAAACATGTGATTGGAGTTTCCTCCATTTGTTTTGATTTTCTGTTTATATTTCGTTGTTATTTCGTAACCAGCATAGCAACGCATAAGATCCATTTTAATTTTTTCAAATTTTTAAACTCATTTTTTGTGCTTATCTTTGAGCCTATTTAAATTTATAAAGGGATTCTGCACACCTACAGGAAAATAGCTTTCCAACGGTATGCGTAGATTTTCCCTACGATTCACACGAGCTGAGAAAAAAGGTTTTAAAGAAACATGCTTGCCTATTAATATATAGATAGATATAGATAGATAGACTAGTGGCCTGTAGGGGCCATAGCCCCTAATTTAGACACAACTGTCCATACGAAGGCAACTACTCATTTCGCGGTACTAAGTCAGAAATATATCTATGAATTTGTCCCTGAATTTTAAAACAATAAGGCCCATTTCTCGGAATCTTTTTTTGTGTAGCGGAAAGTGACGCAAAAACCAATGCACTGTTGTATTACCTTATGTTTTTTATGAAGTTAGAACCGTGTAAAAACATGACTTTAAGTTCGTAATTTAATTATGGTTGTGGCATGTTAGTGAGTCCATAGTGGCAACATGCGTCGAAATGTCCATTTGTGGCCTTTGAAATGCGCCACAACGCATGCAAGTGCTGTTAAGAGGACCTAGATTGTGAGAAACAACACTCAACTAATTTTCCAGCGTTCTTCTGAAGGCAGGTTGTAAACCAGCTTGTGGATTTTCATATTTAGACCTTACGTTCTCTTTCAGCATTTCTTGTGTTAGTTGAATTCCTGGATACTCTTCCACGTCTTGCAGGTCTTCCCTTACCCTGTCTAGTTGCTTCACTCATTATAAAAACGGAAAACAAAAAAAATTAAACGAATACATTTAATTTTGAAACATTATTTAACAACATTGACTTTCGGAATAAATGTAAACATTGCAAATAAATAAGCAACAGCTGATTAGAATGCAGACGTTTTTCAGTCCCCATGCTTTCTTATGGCGGATATTTTACGTTATATCTCGTTTTCTGGCAACTTTATGGGGATTCTGCTATTTTTCCCGAGTCCCTGGGGTTAAGATCCTTAATTTAAGACCCCTCCCACCTTTCTGCGTCTTACCAGACGTCCACAATTTTCTGGTAAAAATTTTGTCTTACAGAATTATATATAAGGATTTGTGCGTTTCAATGTTATTGGTATTTTTTTAGTTTTTTGTAAAGGGTGGTCCAAGACCTGATGTTGTTACTATCTAACGTCAACTTTCAGTTTGACGTCGTCATTAATTGAATGGCGAATGTCACCTGCGCTTATAATCGACCCCGTTATGGTACCGAACCAGCAACCTTCAGACTCGGAGGTTAGCATTACAACCACTCTGCTAACCAGGCAGTTTACAGCATAGGCTTCAAAATTACTGCCAAATTTCAAATACATAATAAGTCTATCAATATATTATACATCGTCTTCTAGGGCTGCTTAATATCTTCTAGGTGTTATGATAGAACTCCAAAACCAAACTTGATTTAAATTAAAAGAGAATAAAATTAATCATTTAATAGCAGCTTTGTCGTCGCTTTTAAGTGGGGTATTTTGGGCGGATGCCATAAATCTCAGTTGACACTGGATTCTTTTGGAGTTTTAGGACTCTCACGTGATACTGGCTCAAATCTGTCTTCAGCGTTAACAGCCTTCGTATTGGTAATCTTTACCTTCATAAAACGGTAACCAGTTTGCAGTAAAACATGTTGTCTTAAATGTTCTTAGTTACAGTTTGAAACATGTGTTTTAAACTTATAAATTGGTCAGTAAAATTATATAAAACCGTATTGAATATGGTTTTATAAAGGGATAGAAATACCATAAACTTGAGGAAACCGTCTTAACCCAGTTTTAAATTACAGTCTTCTCAAATGTGATACAATTGTGACTAAATAGCTACAATGAAGATTTGAAATAGCAAAGAATTGTGTTTTGTTGGGTTAAATACCTTACATTTTAGCTGTCCTTTTCCTTTAGAAGATACCACCATTAGCCTATGTTGATGAGTTCTTTAATGGGATTTATTACAATAATAAAGCTGCCCCAAAGTACCAGATTTTGGTGGGAACTGGAAAACTGTTAACAGACAGAACC